CAGCTTTTTCGCTATGGTTAAGTCTACATATTATCTAGCTATATTCGTTCTTACACCCCATTCGTAATAATCTTCCACCTAATTTCAAGTCTTTGCAGAGTTATAAGCGTTTAGAAACAACTTTGTTGTTCCACACGAACACACAAAGATTGGTGCTATATATTTAATCTTTGCTTCTAGAAAAGGGCTTATTATAGTGTTGATGTTAACGCTGGCAATGGTGGGGCATTGTACGCCTAGGCACCTAGCTATGTATCACGATCTGAGAGCGCTTGAATTGAAAAAGTCAAACTTTTTCTTCTGGGTCCAAGAGAAATTACACATTAATGAGTACCAACAAAACAACAGAATATCATCAAACTTTGCATTAACTGTGATTAAGATTTCCATTAAGTTAATTAATATTAACTAAATGCTTTTGGCCAGAGCGTGTTTGTTTTTATGCGCCAAATGAAATGTTGGATTTGACCCCATTGATCTGGCATTCCACTCCACTGAGAGTCTGACAATGATGTGAGTAGTAGAAGACAAATCAAACCAAATAAAATGTGAGATACAGGAGTGGGAATATTTGAAAAGAAAGAAACATTTTGGAATGTCTTTTGAGATTTATAATTATTCTAGTCAGACATGTCAATTTTGTAAACTTACACTTGACATCACATTCTAAAAGAAATAGTTAAATAAGCAGAGAGGTTAGTGGTTTATGAGTTGTTTATCGATCAGGATGAGGGAGACAGGCATGGAAGTAGGTGGGGTGCCAATAAGCACTCTGATCAATGGGCATATCACTTAGGGCACAATGTCCAATAGTGGAGCCATATAGTACTAATAAAATTTACCTTAATGTTTAGTGGGATTAAATTAAACAAATTTGCGAGGCCTACATCTTAATAAAAATATTTTGTGTGCTTTTAATTGCCAGTTTCATGAGTGCAATTATCAGCATTAATTTAATTGTATATTGCTATTACTGTTCGAAAGTAAATTTGATTGAAAGAAACACCTATGCGCAATCAAAAAGAAATCCAGTCACTACAGATCATTTGTAAGTGCTGGCTTGTCTTACATATTGAAGATTTCATTATCTTGAAAAATCATAAATAGTTAACTGTTGTCCGAGTAATTTTGATGAACTATATTCGAACTTCATTTCAGGGTCATAGGTGCCCTCTCTGATTATGCATCGTGCTCCGACTTCTTAAGTTTTAGTCTCTTCTTTTTCTTTTTAGTTTAGAGTTCCTCTAATGACGTTATAATTAATTAAGAACAAAGCGCTATGATGAGGAACATATATAATATTCTCTTTTATTTTCAGTAAAAAAATCCCATGACTAATGTGTTAAATGAATTGATTGAATTGTTTAATCAGAAAGCTCAAAACCTTTATGCAGATTAAATAATTAATTGCCGGTACAATCACAGTGATAATCTATTTTAATTAGACAAAATGGGAAGACTTTCTGGACGGCTTTGCTAAATTTTCTATAGGATCGATGCACTCAAAAAGCTTGGAGTATATATGGAAGTTATTGGAGACCCAATTCATATACATGATCGCTTACGCTAAATCATGCCCATAGCTTTTTCTTATCCATTAAGGTAATATCATTAGTTGTTGACAATATATGTACAAAGAGAATTATGAATTGCACATATATGCTTAACTTCTGATTAAGATGTGAAAAGAGGATTATATTGCTTTGACAGTTGAGAGTTGAGACCAAAAGGTTCACATGGTTTTTTTTTTTTTTTTTGCTTTTTGGCAGCGAAATTAAATTATATGGCTTTGGATGTAGGGACGCGAAGCATTTGGAAGTGAAATGCATGATTGATGATTTTGGGCAATCAAAGAGAAAAAGTTAAAGAAAAATGATTCCAAGATCTTCATTTTTCCTCATCATATCTTCTACAGTGAATCAGAATTATTGTTGTGTCCCACTTTTAAAATTATAATACCTACTTATTATAGTTGAATTGTGAATTCATCTGGCGCACACAAAAATCATTAATTAGGTGAGTATTAATTTGACAAACCGTACCATTCATTAGTTTAGCCCATGCCATATAGTTTTGCATTGCGTAGGAGATGAGTTTATAACCAGACTATATTTAGAATATATATAAAATATCACAATTGAAGAAATGAATATGTAAGAAATTAAAATGACTAAATACTATCGATTAATTCTACAAGTTATTTAACTTCTACCTACACTCTACCCAGCCTTGCCACCTGACTTGATGACTATTTTCTGGTTATGAATAGCTTTAAAGTGAAATTATTTTTGGCCAAGCCGACGACAACGTTTTATGGTTAGATTACATAAAGTGGTTTATCCATAATCCATATCTAGGTATTTATTCAGGAAAATATAGGTAAGAAAACGAGATTAGATCTGTGATCAGAAAATGACCGACTACATACTAAACAAAGAATGAAAAGGTTGCATGTATTAGAAATTACCAATTAGCGAATACAAATAATAACAGGAAGGACCAGACACACAATGCGTATCATAACCAGCACAACACATCACATCCCAACCTCAACAATAAATGACTGAGGGCCAGTTTGGAACTCGAAATTGATTTTGATTTTAAAAAAACAGAACAACAAAGGTGAGTTTTATTTTGGGAAAATTGCAAACAAAAACCTTCGAATATGTAAAATTACGATTTGTGATCTTAAATTTAAAAAATAACAAATAAGAACCCGGTTCCACTTTTGCAAATATAAAATGTGGGTAAAATGTCTAAAATATCCCTCAGTCAAATTATGATTTGGTCTACTGAAGTTATTATTTGCTAAAGTGAATTTGTCATTTTCCATAGTCAACTCGTTATTTGGTATACGTTCAGCCAAATTATGATTTGGTCTACTGAAGATGTCATTCGCTAAAGTGAACTTGTTATTTGGTTGAGGGACATTTTAGACATTTTACTCACATTTTATATTTGCAAAAGTAAAACCAGGTCCTTATTTGCTATTTTTTAAATTTAGGGTCCTAAATTATAATTTTACATATTCAAGAGGTCTTTATTTGTAATTCTCCCTTTTATTATTTTTCTAAAAATAAATTCTAGAATCCCAAGGATCGGTTCAGTATAAGGGAAATGGAGGGAAGGAGTAGGGAGAAAATATTTTAATGAGACCCATCTGGAAAATTGAAAAAGTGGGATTACAATTTTTGAATTAATTTTTATTACTCTTTTATCTTATATCTTCTTTTTATTAATTTTTTTTACTATGTATAGGTATCCGCCCATTAAAGATAATCCTCCTGTTCAAGGCATTGTTAAATGTGAACACATTTCCTAATGGAGATTTGAATCTTGATTTATCATGCAAAACTAATTTTTTACTTGATTTTTTAAATCAAACTCGTTTAAAAAAATTTATAACTTTATTTTCCTTGGACCAACATAGGGTAAAGGATTAATGAATCCAGTATTGCCACTAGCCCAACAGGCCTTTGCCTGGCAAGTGAGTGGGATTAATATGGGCTAAGGCTTAAACCCGGTGCGTTGAAGTGGTCTTTTAGCCGTTTTGCTGCGTACTGGACATTAATTTCCTGTGCTGTCCATAAGGCATCTGCATTGCTCTTTTTTGTTGTTTTTAACAATTTTAAAATAAATCTTAACCAAATACATTTATATTAATAAAAATTAGGAAAATTTGGGGGAAAAGTCCTTCATTAAAATTTTTATTGTTGAGGATGATTTGATAAATATTTATACACAAAATTTTAATGATAGCCTGGTTGAGCAAGGACATCAACATGACAAATAAAATAGTCAATAATTTTGGTTACTTTTTCATTAAATTATTTATATCTTTCTATAATATAAAAACTCTAACCAACCATAATATTCATAACTCATTTCTTATATTTTCAGCACCATATTTGTTTATAATATTTTTAGGCAATTTTTCCAAAATAAAATTTCCCAAAAATCATTTCTATATATCTATATACAAAAAATGAAAGTTTTAAAAAGTCGCATAATTCATAAATTATGAATAATAGAATTGGTTTTTTAAAATTCTATTGATACAAATTTTAACTGGGTCATACATGATACAGGCCACACCATCTATATATATATATATAATGAAATAAAAAAGTTGACAGGACAAAAGGAAGATAAATTACTGGTGGTTCAACTGAAAACCTTACAACGGAACAAACATGTTTTGAAAAAGTTCAAAGATATTCCCGCTTTTGCAACTGGCGGAGAGTAAAGACACCATCAATACTATGCCATACTGCACAAAGCCAAGAGAAGACTGAACTCACTAATCTCCCATCCCCACGCCATAGATTCAATGAACATCACCTCTTCCTCCTCACTGCAACCACCATAGCTCCAAGGTACAGCCTCCCATCTTCACCATTTACTTCTTAGTTTCCTTCTCTTTATGTTGAATCCGTCATTTTAGCTTTCCAGGAATTGGTCCAAACTGATCAGAGTTCTTTCCCAAGTTGTTAGTTTCGGAAACTGGTTTCTCTGTAAAACAAATACTAGTATTCCACAATTTTTTCTAAACTGTATCCTTGACACCACAACATAGAAGCACCATCCTCTTTCGAGGAAGTAAATCTCCAAAAAATAGCAGTAAGATTATCTTTTTCAATGTTGCAGATAACTCGTATCAGATCATCCAAATTGACGAAGAATGACAATGTGCATATTTAAATTTTGGACAGATCGTTCGCTTTCTGTCTAAAATTTAAAATTTTGCTGTTGCCTTGTTGTGTCCGTCATCAAACTCTTAATTGCGCTGTTCCAAGTGTTTCTCAACTTAATGGAACTAAATTGCAAATTTTTAATATATAAGAATCAAATTGAAACATAAGCTACTAACAAAATCATTAAACCCAGAAGCCTTCGTATTTGTTCACTATTTTACAAACTTTGAAATTCTAATGTCACTTACCATTCTAGTGATATTATCCCCTTGGGTACGCAGAAGCCATTTTTGGAACAGCAGAGACTCAAATTCCGTCGGCTGGGACAATGACTTCATCTGCCATTGTAGGATCCTTGCAAGAACCAGCAAACCCAGATGATTTCAAGGCCATTTCTCTGCAAATTTCATCATCCCGGAAGGCACTGCTAGCTGAAGAAAAAGTAGAAGAAACCATTCCAGTGTCAGAATATAATGGGATCGGAAAAATCCGCAGAGAGTGGATTAACAACCCTATGAACATAATCCTCGTGTTATGGGTAATTTGTGTGGCAATCTCAGGAGGAATTCTGTTTCTTGTAATCACAGGAATGTTAGATAGAGTCCTAACCAAGAAGTCCCAAAAAGACTTGTGGTTTGAGGTCAATAATCAAATCCTTAACGCTCTTTTCACTCTCATGTGCCTATACCAGCACCCAAAGAGGTTCCACCACCTATTTCTCCTTTGTAGGTGGAAACCCACAGACATTTCTATCCTCAGAAAAGCATATTCCAAGAATGGAACTTACAAGCCTAACGAAAGGGCCCACATGATGGCCGTGGTGGTGTTACTTCATGTGAATTGCTTTGCTCAGTATGCTTTATGTGGCCTTAACTTGGGTTATAAAAGATCAGAAAGACCTAATGTTGGTGTTGCCATTTGCCTCTCCATTGCCATTGCTGCTCCAGCAATAGCAGGCCTTTATGCCATTTTTGGCCCTCTGGGGAAGGAGCATGAAGAGGCTCAGAACTATAATTCGGCCAACAATGGCATTAGGTGAGTCAAAATTGCTTTATCTTGATTCTTGTATTACATGAATTAACCAAAATTGGCGGGGGTTCAGTTAACTCAGTTACATAGACGTAATTGTTTTCCTTTTTCTCATTGGGGCTGACCAATCAGATTACTGAGTCAGTTTTCATAGTGTTATTTGTTTGTTGTCTTGGTTAATAGCTTATCAGAGAAAAGATTGTCATCTACATCAAGAAATGAGGAGACTGGTGGATTTGTCCAACCTGCACTGTCTTCATTGCCTCGTGAAGACAAAGCTACTCAGTTCAGAACAATGTAGACTTATCCAATGTGGAGTAGTCCTAGGTTGTGCAAGATCTGACATGGTGGACCAAAAGATTTGGAGGTTTCTAGAGGAACAAACCATTGTGCTGTGGAAGCTCGCATCCCAAAGCACATATAATGTGGTGCAGATGAATCTATTGCGGTGTATTAATTATATATGGTGAGGTGTCATCAATGGATTCGAAACTATTGTGCATTTCCTGCAGCAGTTTCTTGTTTAATTCTTCCTTCACTATTCCATTCATTGCATGCTTTACGTTTAGGGTCTCCTCCTCTTTGAGATCCCTTCACATTATAATGAGATAGCAGTACAGATTAATGTAAATGCAACTAGTAGTAACACCACAAAAGAAGGTTTAAAAAAAATGCTTAGCATAAGCAGAAGAATTAGAGTTTGAAGGAGGATAAAAATATCTTGTCTGTTTAGTGTTTAGGCCCGAAAATTCGCGAATGAAAATTTGTGGACGAACGAATGGGAAATGGTCTAATTCTTTTGATTCTATAGTTTTACATAACTTTTATATCAATTAAATCTTCATAATTTAAAGTGTTGTAATTAAAATTTTATAATTTACATACTCTTAATTTAATGTTTACTATTACAATCTTGCACGTGTTAAAATATGAATTACTATACACTATTAAAAATACAATTAATTATTAAAAAAAACTTATGATATTTTTCAAAAACCAATTGCAAATTTGCAATTTAACCCATTTTCAACAAGTGAAACTAAATGAACATAAAATGAAAATATTACTTTCTTGAAATTTTTTCAAAAAAAGAAATGGGAAGTCAGAGAAGATTTCCATCTCAGAGGAACAATTTACATTAAGACTTAAGAGGGGCTTACCCTGCAAAAAAAAAAAGCTCATCCAATCCTTAATATAAGACCTATTTAACTAATTTGATTAAATTAAGAAAGTTAAGTAAGTTAGTTAATTATAAAAAAATATGACATGTTTTCCTAAAATACCATAATCATCTTTTTTAATATCTTCCCTCCCTCTTTTACTTGATTATGGTTGATGGAGTATCTATAGAGATAATTTAGGAAAAACTAATAAATATAAGAAATAACTCTTATATTTAGATCAAAATCAACTCAATATTTAAGTCTTATATTAAAAACTGGAGAAGTAATTACTTTACATATTGACCCATACAAAAAAATTCTATCAGGCACTTACATTAAAATAACTTCTATATGTACTATACCAGTGAGCAATTAGTATTCCTTTCTGGTTTTAAAAAAGATAGCTCACTCCACCAAGACCTCTCTGTTTCTATGAAGTTGAAAAGGAAAAACATGATCGAAAACTAAATTCACAAGGGATTTAGAAATGAATGAACGTGAAATGTGCCCACAAGATTAATAACCATTGGATAACTACATAGAGGATCAACTGTGTGTCTGTGCTGCTAACAAAAGCCAGAATGAGATTTTAGTCAGTAATCTTACATAAGTCAAAGTCGCCGCATTAAGCTATCCGAAATTCACCCAAGAAAAAAGTCCCCACCAACCTCCTAGGGCACAACCATGTCTTCCAAATCCATATCCATTGTTGGAATCATCAACCAGTCATCAAGGCAACAGCTTTGCTCTGTTGCATCCACAAAAGTTGAGTCACAGCCAAGCCCCTTGGAAGCTTCTATCTCAATATTCTCCACAAATGGATATTTCACCTTTTCACTGCTCATATTACCATCTAAAGTTTCAAGGAATCCAATCCACCATGAATATGAAGAAGCTTGATTCTCTCCCCATTCTAACTCTGCAGGGCCTTCCCTAGTGGGTGCTTCTGCTGGTGCTGATTCCTGTGCTTCAGCCAAAACACAAGGTTCTGTTGTAGACCACACCGGTCCGGGCACAGGCATGGCCTCCAATAAGGAGTAGCAATATTGCGCATCTGAGAACATTGGCATATTACCGGAACAACCATATTCATAGTTGGAATTAATGCTGTTACTGTTACCATTTTCAGTGATGTCTCTTTTAGAAGTGCCTGCAAGCTGCATGACAAAATGCCCCTGAGAATCTCTTCTACCATCTAAACTCTTTCTTGTGGATTTGCTTGATGGGTTTGCTTCATCCGAGTTCATTCCTTCTTCATCCATGGCTTTGTCTACTGTGAGCCAGAATCCCAATAGGATTTAAGATAGTGGAACTGGAAAGGTAATAATGCTGGAAGCTTGAAACAGGCATGAGTGGGTAAGAGTAGGTTTAAAAAATGAGGGGGGAAATAGGAGAGAGTGGAGACAAGGATATGAATGCTGACACGTATGTGTTGAATCCATTGGACACATCAAAGCTTTTTCAAGCAGCAACCTGCGTGTCTGCAAAGTCTTCGCTTCTTTTTCCTTTTTGTACGTACCCCTTGGCTCTTTTTTCCCTTTAATTCCCAGTTGATCATTCATTGTTCTGTAAAGCCATATTTAATATACTCTTCTTGTCTTCTATGACCCTCTAACAATTATGATAGCATCCTCCCAGCTTCGAAATTGTCTCGGAAACAATTTTATGGTCGAATCAGTGGATTGGTTTATTTAGTTCTGGTTTTCTTAATGATGCATGTATTATTCATTTCTCGCAATAAATAAATAAATAAATAACTTTCGACATCTCTAGTCACCCAACGGCGAAATGGTACTTGATGATGCTAAAATTATGTAGTTCTAACTATTAATAATTTAAAGACCAAATTGTGATACAAATAACACAGCATTAACCTTTCTTAATATTTCGGTTTCGACCGATAATTATAAGAGACGAAAAATCAGAAGAGGAAACCTAATAATATTAGGAGGAATTATAATAACATCTCAAGCAAGGATAGTTTAAAGTTCATTACAGACAATGATAAATTCTAGTGCAGAAAATGATAATTAATTTATGTTTATTAGGATTTTTTTAATAATTAAATTATTTTCTTAAGACTTTATGATTATTCTTACATTATATTAGTCTTTTTAAATACTACTTCCGATCCTAATTATAAGATATTATTTATATTATAAATAATATCTTATAATTAGGACAGAATATAGTATGTGTTATTAAATTAATAAATGAGGTGTTCTTATGGAATTATAGATACCAGTTACTTGAGACAATTTGAACCGTTCGGATGTGTTTATTCAAAATAACTTCTTGTCAGCTTACTACGTCAGTACGTTGTTTGAAACTTATGACAAATTACAAACTCCAAAATTCTGGGTCTTAGTAAACCGAATTGAATGATATTGAACATATGAAACTCCTATAAAAATTTCCATTCTTGATGGATTGGATTATTTGATCCAAGAGAGAAAAGTCTCTTTGATCAAACAAAATCAATCACCAGTCAGGCCTAATAATTGATTGGTGAGGGAATATTTAGAAATTGTTTGGATCAAAACCAACACATAATTTTAAAATTAATTTTATGGTATACAAAATAAATATATAAAAAAAATTGTATCTTGATTTGCGTGAAAATATTTTTTTAAAAAGGTATTTTTTGAGGCTTTCAAACATCCCTTAAGCGAGCATTAAGCACTTGTTTGATTGAAGAAAAACCAAACATTAATTAATAATTGTGAATTGAAATATTATTATCCTGACCTATTAATAGAAGGTGTCTCAACTTATTTATCACAGTCATTGAGGTTTTTTTTTGGCTATCTCTCATTCTCTCTCTTTTCTCTCTTGCTGATGCTCTGCATTAAAAGCCATCTGACCTGTGCGCACTTTCCTTTTATATTTATATTCCATAAAAAATTATTTCAAGTCATGCGTAATTAATCCGTCGGTGTTGAGAAGGCGTGATATGCAGTCAAAAGTCAAAACCTTAAATCTTTGGAGACGGGCCACAAAATGTTTTGTGAGTCTTATTATAAATTAAACCGGTATAAATAACTTGACTTTGAACCGAATAAAAAACCAAAAGTTAAAATGTATACCCACAAATTGGGTTCAATACAGAAGAATAAACAACAATTTGTACCATGTCTACGCGCAGGACAATAACTTTTGATTTGGAGAGATTCTCAAGCACGTGCTGGCCAAATGACCTGTATGTTGGAATTCCACATAGAGCAATTTTAGAGCCGCAAATCACTTGTTATGTGCAATGCACCGGCTTATTGCGCATGGCCAAAAAAATGCTGAAGCGGTTAAAGGAATGAATAGATTAAGTGCGTAAAAAGAAGAAAAAGGAGGGAAATCTCATTCAGGTTCAGAAGAACAGTGCATGAACGACAGGATCGCAGAATTTCAGGGCATATTCTGAAGTCTGAACCACAAAAGCAGTGGTTTGCACGAGAAAGGTCATGTTAAATCATTGTGTCCTTAGAAAGGGTATAAAATAAAAATAACTTTATAAATAAAAAAATTTCATCCTATGCTTCAATAAGCTAATGAGAAGTAATAAAATAATATTAAATAAGTCATCTTTTATAAAATAAAATAAAAATGGATTTTCGCTTTGAATTGAGAAAGCAAAGGGAAATTATTCTTCAAAAACCAATAACGAAAGGAATCAACCAGACAACATCATATTGGAGTTATGATATCAATAATGCGTTCCAGCCTATGATTACAAGTATGGAGAGGAGGGATTAGCAAAAAAATGAAAGGTATGGACGATTATTGACTTGTCAAATATTACCTCTATTTCTTAATATAAGAACTTATTTAATTTTTATTTTGATTATAAATATAAGGTTTCAATTCATTTTGTCTTTTATATTTATTCATTTTTTTAAGGTTGTCATCGTAATAATAGTAGTTTTAACTAATATACTTAATTAGCAAGAATAATTTAGAAAAGACAACACATATCTATTACAAATAACTAATTTAATAATTTTTTAATTTACTTAGATTAATTAATTAAATATTATATTAAGAAAGAGAGGTGCTATTAGTACTTTCAGCCTTTCAGGTAGAGGAGGACGAGGCGGAGAAAAGGTGGTGTGATTGGGCCCAATGGCACGTATGGGAATCTGGACGGGGTTTCTCACAACGGCCCAGAAAGAAAACCCCCATTCTCACATATTCCAAGCACCAAGTTCCAGCAACAAACAAGATCCCCAAAAAAAAAAAAAAAAGAAGTTATCCCGTAAAAATGAAAAAAGCGGACTGTATATATAGACCATATGTAGACGACAATACTATATATATATATATTTGTGAGTTTGTGTAGCGTCTCGTTAACAGATTAAATAGAAATAAAATATGTATTTTATCAATTTATGAAAATATATTTCGATAAATAATTTAAAATTATCTCTTTATTAATTAAAAAAAAGGATGATACTTCACATTGCAGATGTCAGACTGTGCAAGGTTAAAACTTCTAAAGTTTAGTGTCTAAGTTCTCCTAATATAACAAGAAATATATATATCAAGTATAAGAATACATATGAATTATCAGTCATTGTCATAAAAGTTAAGCAGTTATGTGAATAATTTGTTTTTCTTTGTTATTTAATAAATCACTCTGAGTATTCTCTGAAGATTTTTTAGCTTATGACTTGTGATTGCAAAATTATTTTAATTCTTTCATAAGATATTAAAAAAAAAAAAAACTAGCTGGGCGTGTCGCTGCTGGTTTGTCAGCCGGTAATTCAGCTGCAACCAACAAACCCAAGATTCTACTATTCCGTATTTCCTCTGTCAACCAACAAACCCAATAGGGTAGGTTTTCCCTTGTTTATATATGCTCTTCTGTGCGCTGCACCCCAGCAAATGCTTTCCATAAATGGCATTGCCCAGCAAGGACCACAGAGTTGTGACCACCCATTGACCTTGTAATTAAGCTGTTTTTTAATACTCCTCCGGTTCTTAACATAATATTCAATTTTTAAGTTAGTTTTAATCTTAAATATCAGACTTATTTCTCATATTTATCAATTTTCTCTGAATTATTCCTATAGATACTCCCTCAACCATAATTAAGTAGAAGAGGGAGATGGAGTATTAAGAAAGATGATTATGATATTTAAAAAAAAATGTGTCACTTTTATTATAATTAACTAATTTATCTAATTTTCTTAATCTAATCAAATTAGTTGAATGAGTTTTATATTAAGGATAGGAGGAGTATTACTTTGAAAAACATCAATACATATTCTAAATTTTAACAGGTCGTGCTACGAGCACTTTTGTTGTTAATCCTTTGGCAGCACAAATTGACGAGTGGGTGTGCTTGGTTCCTCCTCCTGCTATTGTTTCATTTGTTTGGTCCAATAAGGAGGAGGAAATAGAAGGTTCATGAAAGCAAGGGGACAGAAGATAAGATGCTTATAACGACTCGAAAGAATTACAATTAAGTCTCAAATAAGAGAAATAATTATTAAAAAGTCCTAATAACAGTCTGAGCAGCTTGTAATAACAAGTTTTACAGTGAAAAATAACAACCTTTGAAACTTGTTTTGTAATTCCTTTCTTCTCTTAGAACCTCATTGTAATTCTCCCTAATGACTACTCTTCATATTGGAGGGAGGAAAGAAGGAAAAAAATATTTGAACTATTCTTGTCCCGTTCAAAATGGAAGAGGAGGAAAACTAATCATATATAGATAAACACTACATTAAATATAAGAATTGGTTCATTAATTTAAGTAGATCAAGTAAATAAGTTAAGCTAGTTATTTGTAATAAATATATACTGTCTTGTCTAAAATACCCTTCTTAATCATGTGTATTAACTAAAACTACTATTTGATAAAACATTTAACATATGCAACTATTGTAAAGATTATTTTGAAAAAAATAGATAAATATGAGGACACAGTGGGTTGGATCTTATATTTGTAATCAAATTAAATATCAAATTAGTTCTTATATTGAGGATTGGAGGTAGTATGTTTTATATTATTTCAGATTTTTTTCTTTTTTACTCTTTTTTTTATGAAATAATATATTTACATCAAAATTTATTATTTTCTTATTTTTTGAATCTCGAAAGCTTTTACCCTACTTATCATGATAAATTTTTAATATACTTTTTAAAATATGGTTAGATTATTTTAATATATTATTTAATTGAAAAATAAAATTGAATAATAAAAATAAACCTTATTCTAGATACTGAACTCAAATAAATGAATTGACTACTCACCCTTTGATGCTCTCCCATTGTCACCAGCAAACCAATCAATCTGTTTCTCATT